CAGCACATCTACAGATGATCTTTCCTCAACAGTGTCCAGTGTTTCGCTTTTAAAGTTAAATGGCAGTCGACTCTCATCAAGTCCATCCAATATAAACGCTAGCTTACATTCCTTATATAACTTTGATTTCTCCAGGTTCTTCAATTCAGGATAGAATTTCAGCAGAAACTCATGGAGACTGACCTCTCTGTCTTTAATCATGTTGATCTCTCTGAATGGAAGCAGGAACACACAGTCTATATCCTGATTGGTGTTTTCTTCTGCCCAGTCCAGGATGAACTTGTGCACAGAGACAGTTTTTCCGATGCCAGCGACTCCCTTGGTCAGCACAATCTTCTCCTCATTGTTTTTCCTCAGTTCAGTAAATATATCGTTGCATTTGATTGGTTTGTCCGGTGTTTTTTTGTTCATGAAAGCATCATCAATCTTCAGAATTTCATGTTCGTGATTGACATCTTTCATATCTCCCTCTGTGATGAACAGCTCTGTGTAAACAGTCTTGAGATCTGTGTCGTTTTCTTTGTTGCCCTCAAAAATACATTTTGCTTTCTTCGTCATGTTGTTTTTGTGAGTTTTCAAAAAGTTTTGCAGTTCTATAATGAAAAACAAATCAATCAGATTGATAAAGCATTAAACAAATTGGAGAAATATTTTTCATGTCAGCATGATCATTATTATTAATAACCGATGCAGACAGATTACATTCATACTGCTGAAAACAGCACAGACCATCTCTAACAGCTTGGTTTAAATTTTAGAATTTCTGAAAGTTTTTTTTTTTATTGTATTGATTGAGATCATCTTTATGCCATCCTGACTAATGTTACTAAAAGCTGATGAATGGTTTCAGCATCATCTAGCACATCAAACAGGATGTGAGGCTGTATTTACAACATCTTTTGACCTGAGGGGTTAAAGCAAAAAAAAATCCTCAGCCTGAACTTTTTTTCCGGGGCTTGGGGGTTGCGGGGGCAGACACATACACAGGGTTATTTGGCAAAAAAAAAAGAAAGAAAATGATTTTCCTTGAAACTAACTAATAACGTATCTGCCATTGCCATTAGCCCTTGATAGGCTCAGACTACAGAATATGGTGGGATATTTGAAACAGCAATAACAAGAAAGGTTACTCACTACAATATGGTGCAAACACATGTAACATTTAGGATGCTTT